TTGAGACTTGCTCGCAATTCACTGGCAAACGAGGTTCCCGCCTGATACTTCCTCCAAATTCAGGCCTGAGGAGCCCAAAAGTGACGACAGTTACAGGAATCCGATGGCCCGCTCGGATTAGTAACATGACCTGCGGGCCCCATAGGGAGGGGGTTCCCGCCTGAGACTTCCTCGCAATTCACTCACAGACGAAGCTCCCGCTTGATATTTCCTCCAAATTCAGACCTGGGGAGCCCAAAAGTGACGACAGCTAGAGGAATCCGATGACCCGCTCGGATTAGTAACATGATCTGCGGGCCCCATAGGGAGGGAGCTCCCGCCTGAGACTTCCTTACAATTCACTCACAGACGAGGCTCCCTTTTGGTGGATGATGGTGATGGGATGATGACGACGGTGTTCGATGATGATATATGATTGATGATGATGCTGCTGATGATGATGATGGTGGTGGTGATGATGACGACGTGATGATGATGATGATGATGATGATGATGGTGGTGATGCTGAGTGCTGATGGTGAGTGATCGTGCGATTCTGATGGTAAATGGTGGTGATGATGACGGAGACGAAGTGGTGAGTCAGCGAGTAGTGATGATGATGATTTTGATCGTTCGGTGCCGATGATGGTGAGTGATCGTGCGATGGTGATGGTGATGATGATGGTGATGATGATGATGAGTGGGGAGTGATGGTGATGGTGATGATGATGCGGAGGAGGAAGCAAAGAGGAGCAGAGGAGAGGGAAGAGGACGAGAGATCCTGCGCGGAGGGTGTGCAGAGAAAACAAGAACCCCACGCAGGATGTGGGGAAAAAAACCTGGGCCTCTAGTTACAGCAGCGGTTCCCGCCCGAGGATTCCTCGTCGCAGTTGGTTCAGAGTCGCGCTATTCCTCGAGGCACTCTCTCAGTGTACGCAGGAATCGCGCTCCCGTCGAGGACTTCTCTGCAACGTACCACCGCGCCGCGCGCTCTCGACGCGTCCAGGACATTGCGCGCTCTCGCACGCGAGGCGCCCTGAGATGCCCAGGGCCCGCGGTCTCGCCCGAGGCCTCTCCACAGTATTCGCCAGCTGCTTCGGTGCCCCACCTGTTAATCACCACCTACCAAACCACCCCAACCCAACCCGAAGGCCTCAATTTTCCCTCCACTTCCAGTGGGGGGGGTCGGCGAACGTTGAAAAAAAAACACATGGAACCCGTACCCCCCCCCCAACCCGAAATTCGGGTCAAATTCGGGTCTTCGGGTTGGGTTGGGGTGGTCCGGTGGGCAGTCAGTTAAGGGCCCGCTTGTCCGTCCCGCCCGGTAGGGTCCGCCCGCCTGACCCGCCAGTTGGGGTTAAGTCGGGCCTGTCCCTCTCGAGGAGGAAGATTTGAAAAAAAACAGCGGCAAGATTGGCCCGGGGACGACTCCTTGAGCATTCCTGACTACTTGGGGATCTGTTCGTCCTGCCATCTGTGATCTCTCGTCCAACCCCCCCCCGTACCCAGACCCCCGACGTCATGATTTTTTCATGACGTCGGCCCCCAGAGGTTTCGACCTATTCCCCGGGACCGGTTTTTCATCCCGAGTCGTTTTTTGACGGTCCCGAGGCCCGGCAAGGGCCCCCAGAGGCCGAAAGCGGCGAAAAACCTCCCGTCGTGATTTTTTCATTGCTCGAGGGGGTCTGGGTAGGAGGACACGCCCGACCCGAGACCAGGGTCGGCCTGTTCGCCTGCTGGGCCGCCCGACCGCCCGCGCTCCCCTGCCCCGCCCGGCACGCGCTCGGCCACGCGCGGGGCTCGCCGGCTCCACCCGCCCGCTCTCGGGCCCGACCTGCCGCTGGAGGCTGCCCGCCCGACAGGGGGAGACTCCAGATCCCTTTTTCATCGACCCCCCCCCTACAAAAAAAAACTACCCCCCCCCCAAAAAAAAGCCGAACCCACCCCCCCCAAAAAACGCCCCCCCCCCCCCACACAAAAAAAACCGGACCTTGCTCCTCGACCCCCCCCCCCAACAAAAAAAACACCGGGCCCCCCTCCAGACGCGAGCTGCAATTCCGCGCCCCCCTCCTTTACGGGGCGCTTGGACAAGCCGGGCCCCCGAGGCGCCAACCCAAGGAGAGCGCCCCGATAGACCGGACCCCTCCGGGTACAAAGAAGGCGCTTCAAAAGACCGGACCCGAGGGACAATTAATAAGGGATTTGGGATACGGCCTCTCGCGTGCTCGGGAGCCCGCCCGCCCGCTCTGACCAGGGGAACGAAGAATGCCACGAAACCTCGGAAGTCCGAACGAAGAATGCCCTGGAAACTCGGAGGTCCGCGCGGATTTCTCGGATCTACACCGGACCCCCTTGGCGCCGACTCTGGCGCCGCCCCTGGCGCGCTCCGCGCGCCAGAGAGGGGGGGTGCAGCGCCGATCCGAGAAAGCCGCGCGGACTTCCTAGTTTTTATGCTTATGCCATTCTTCGTTCCCCGATTGATGCCCCGCGTTCCCGACACGACCGCGACCGTTAGGGCCGGTTCGCTAGACCCCGGCGGTCCGCTCGCGAAGGTGTTGTTTCTCCCTCCTTGCCCTCTTGTTCCATGTCCTTCGCCCTGAAATCCCCCTCCCTTCCTTTTGCCCCCCCCTCCATTCTCGGTTCGTCCTCCCTTCCTCCTATTGCTGGGGCCGCGCCACTACACGTGGCAGGCCAGGAGGATGTTTACTTAAAGAGGGGTACGATGGAAGACGGAGAGGGTGGACATCGATCGCTTGGGGGTATGCATGCTGAGTGGCGCGCGACCAGCGAAGAACGAACCATAGTGTGTCGAATAATTGATGTTGGTGTTGGCATTTGCGTTGGCGTCTGCGTTTGTGTGTTTGTATGAGTGTGTGTGTGTGTGTGTGCCACTGGTCGGCGCTCCCTCGGCCGCAGCCGGTGACTTGCCTGAGCGGGCCTGGCTTCCTCTCTTTCCGTCGCGCCGGGGTCTCCTCCTCTCCTCACGTGCACTGCGGCCCAGTTTGCATCTAGCGCGCCCAACTGATGCCCGATCGCTGGAGCAGTGACTTCTGCCCAGCCGCCGACGCAAAAAGTGTGTGTGTGTGTGGGTGTGCCGAAGTGCGTTTGCCGAACTTGGCGGGGGCCAGCATGCGTGCGCGCCCACTGGGGCCGTGGGTGGAGCTCCCTGTGGGGGCACGCAATGTTTGGGAGTTGTTGTCCAAACGGGTGGTGGCGGCATATGTGCGCGTCCAGAGTGCATGGATGTCTGAGATTCGTCTTGCGGGCGTTCGCATTAAGTCGCCCGAACAATCAATCATCCACAACATCCATCCACCCTATTTGTGCCCCCGTCTCGAGCTGAGTCGTCCGAGCCCCGGTGTTCAACTCATTATCAGAGGCCGCTTCTCAATTGGACAAGCACCGACCAGCTCTCCTCTCCGCTGGCCGGTCTTCGGTTTCGGCCGCAGGCCATTGTTTGATTTTCACTTGGACTAGCTAGTCGAGTGGCTCCATGGCCCGTTTTCGTTCAGACCGAACGCCATGTGTTTTTTCACCGGTTGGACAACCCAAACATTGACGCTTCGCGTATCCCCACTTCCCCATGCAAAAATAGACACCAAGCGAGTTGCCTTGACCAAGGATGTTTAGCGTCCTGGTTGAGTGGTTGCGTTTCGTTTCCTGCGGCGCCTGTATTACCGCCGTGCGTACCCGGGCCCGCAGTGGTAGAGTGTTTGCTTGTCGTTGTTCGCCGCGCGTGCGAAGCTCGGGGTGCGCGAGCACCGACGAGTCGTGCGCTGTTTGTCTAGCAAGTTGAGGGCCATCGTGGGGCCATCTTAAGAGAATCTCCACTGCGCCTGCCCCCGACCACCGCACACACGCTCAATCCAGGGCAGTTGCAGAGACAATGCCCTTCAAAGCTGTTTCGGGGCCATCTTAAGATCATCGTGGGTCCTCTTTGGGCTCTCCTGGCCTCCATGGTCAACCCAGGGGAGTTGCAGCAACAATGCCCAGGCAAGTTGTCTTGGGGCCATCGCGCGGCCATCTTGGGAGCATCTTGGGTCCTTTTTAGGGGCTCTCCTGGGACCCTCTTCGGGCTCTCGGGGGGGGGGGGCGGGGGGACGATTTCAGGGGTCCTCATTGGGGCTCTACTGGGACCCTTTGGGGCTCTCCAGAAGCCATCCGAGAGGCCATCGAGCCGACGAGGGGGGGGGCCGCAGATTTATCCCCCAGGCAGGGCCCGAGAAACATCGCACTTGGACCCCTCGGCGAGACCGCTCTTGGGGAGGAGGGGGAGGAGGAGGAGGAGGAGGAGGAGGAGGAGGAGGAGGAGGAGGAGGAGCGCGGCTGTGGGCGCTCGAAGCCGTTCTGGAACCCTCCTGGGCCCATGTCGGGGCCATTTTGGAGCCATCCTGAGGCCTCGAGAGCCCATCGGAAGAGAACGGGCGAGAAGGCAAAAAGGCAGTGAAAAGCACGTTGGTTTTGAAGGATTGGGGCCTCGTTGGGGCCGCCATGGGGCGATCTTGAGGGCTCTTGGGGACATGTGGGGGGGGGGCTATCTTGGGATATCTTCAGCGATCTTGAAGGCCATCTCGGGCTCTCTGGAACCCTCTTGTCTTGGAGCCGTTGGGGGCCAAACATGACCCTCTGACATCTCGCGGGGGGGTCCAGACCCAGCAGGAGGAGGTAGAGGGAGGGGGAACACCCTCCCCCCTGAGGGGAAGAAGGGGGTTAGCAGAACGAGCTCCCCAGTGCACTCATGCCCAGAGGGCCGTTGGGATTCGTTCTGAAGCCCCTTCGTTCTCCTCGCCCTCATCTCTGGACGCCCGAAATGGGTACGGAAGAAATTGATACAATGCTCAACACCACAGGCTCTTGTTGGGCAGGTGGCTTGTTGTCCTCCATGAACAACGCACGCGGCGGCGCGGGCAGCGAGCCCTCCTCAGAATGAACAGGAACTGCTGTTGGGCACCATGCCCATGATTTCCGTACCCGTTTCGATCGTCCCGATCATCGCTCCCCCGCTTGCAGCTGCCTGCCAGGAATCGCAGAGCCTCCTGGACTGACGCGCCACAACCCCGCGGGCGCCGCCGCCGCCGCGGCGGCGCGCGCGCGCCTGCGCGCCCGGAAAGCGGCGCGCGCCCCGGCGAGTCCCGCGTGGCGCGGGACCGCTTCGGCTGCGCGGGCGGTCCTGCTCCCGCGCGGTGGAGGAAGCGGGGGAGGAGGAGGAGGAGGAGGAGGAGGAGGAGGAGGAGGAGGAGGAGGAGGAGGAGGAGGAGGGAGGGGGAGGGGGAGGGGGAGGGGGAGGAGGAGGAGGAGGGGATGGGGGAGGGGGGAGGGGGAGGAGGAGGAGGAGGAGGAGGAGGAAGGAGGAGGAGGAGGAGAAGGAGGAGGAGGAGGACCAGTGTAAACCCAAGAGTCATCAACGATGTTGGAATTAGCCCTCCCTCCAGGCTCCTTCTCCACAGGCCCCTGAAATGGTTAATTTCCATTGAGGGCACTGCCTCGTGCCGTTTGAAGACCCTGAAGCATGCGAAAACATCGTTCTCGAGATTTCAACGCCACGGATCAACCTGACTGCTGCGTCTTGACTATCCGGAATCGTACCAGAGAGCCATGTTTGGGACTTCCACCCCGCGAATCAACATAATTGCTGCACCCGCATAATCCTGAACCTTTTCCAAAACATCATTCATGGTACGTTGATCATGGGATTCCGCGAAGATCATCCCAAATGTTCTGAACGAGTGTGCGCGGCGCTAAGGCGAGAGCCACATTTTAAAATGGACGCCCCCTTCAATCCGTGAAACTCTTGCAAAGTTGATAAAACGACCGTGCGCGGCGCTGAGGCGAAAGCCACATTTTGAAAACCACCCGCCCTCAATCCGTCAAACTCTTGCAAATGTTTAAAACGAATGTGCGCGGCGCTGAGACGAGAGCCACATTTTGAAAACCACCCGCCATTAATCCGCGAAGCTCTTGCAAAATGTTCAAACGAGTGCTCGCGGCGGTAAGGCGAGAGCCACATGTTAAAACGACCCGCCCTCAATCTGTGAAACCCTTGCACATCTGTTAAACGGATGTGCGCGGCGCTATGGCGAGAAGCGCATTTTGAAAACCACCCGCCCCCCATCCGCGAAATTGAGCCATAAATGGTGAGGAAGTCTCAGGCGAAACGCCCGGCCCGCCGTAAAAATTGCCCTCGGGATGCAACGGAGAGAAGTTACTCATAAGGGAAAGGAATGGAGGAGGAGGAGGAGGGGGAGGAGGAGGGGGAAGGGGAGGAGGGGAGGAGGCGGAGGGGGAGGAGGCGGAGAAGGAGGAGGAGGAGGCGGAGGGGGAGGAGGAGGAGGAGGAGGAGGAGGAGGAGGAGGAGGAGGAGGAGGAGGAGGAGGAGGAGGAGGAGGACGAGGAGGAGGGGGAGGAGGAAAGAGGAGTATCGAGCATCGAGGATCGAGGTTTCTAGTGTTCGTCCGAGCCCTCCTTTGGTCGGACACTCGTTTTGGAGAGAATTGTGCCGTTCCTGCTCCTTCTCCTCACTTCCTCCCGCCTCCTCCCCTCATCCTTGCTGCCGCGTCCCCTGTTCCATCCGTCCTCCTGCCTCCCGCCGGCCCCAAAACTCGCTCGACTCCCAGGGTGTTGCAAGTCTCTGTCACGTGCGAAATTGTGGCCGCTTGTGAGCTCCTTGGGGTTCTCGCAGGCCCGAACGGAACTTCACCTTCCAGTGGCGCTGGCAAGCACAATTGTTGGCACCCTCGTGGGTTCCAGGGAGATCGACGGAAGGCGGGACGCGCCGACCCAAACGGGACCTCCTTTTCTCTCGGTGTTGCCGCATGCGTAATTGGTGCCTCTTTCCTGGAGTTCGCCTGCGAGTTCCCAGCGGCAGTGCGGAAATGCAAGGGGAAAAGCAGGAATTGGCGGGCCATCTCGGCTCGGGCGGTGCCTGCGTGATTGCGCGAATGAGCCGCCAGCGCGTTTGCCAGCGGGCTTTTGCACTACGCGTTTCACGCGCGAGGGCGCGGGGGTGCGGCTGCGAACAGATCTTGTCCACAGGGGGCAGCGTTGGGTCGAGGCCCGAGGTTGGGCGTTACATTTCAACCCAGGATCGTTGACGCACAGAGTCTGACAAAAAATGCGTCGCCGTTCGCATTTGGTTTCCGTCGCCTTCCTCGCCGTCATTGGTTTCTTCATTATGTTGGCGACAGCCTTTCCCATTTTACCACCCCCGCTTCCATCAGCGGTTCGTGTATCCTTGCCCCCCGTGTTCGTTGTAGTCGTCGTTGTGTCGCACAGTTGCAGTTTGTCTTTTTCGGCGCCGCCCCGTAGAAAACACAGGTCCCATCGGGCGTGCGCCATTTGGGTACCCATGTGCCCTCCGCGAGAGATCGCTTGGCATCCTCTTATTCGTCGTGTATGGGGCCGTTGGTGTCATTGCTGTTTGTTGCGTGTGTTTCGGGTAAGTATTTGGGCAATTTTGACGTTTTGCGGGGGCCCCAACGGCCCAGTGGGGACTCAAGCATTGGGGGGCCCCGCGCAGCTTCAAACGCGCGTGCCCGCGCCCTTCCGAACTTCCCACCCCAACGTGGATAGGACCCTCCCAACAAGTAGATAGGTCTCCCCAACAAGTAACAAAAAGACCCCCCCCAGGAGGTAGACAGGTCCCTCCCAAGAAGAGAGGCCCCTCCCAAACGTAGAAAGTACCAGCACCCTCCCACCAGGTATACATGCACCTCCCAAAAATAGATAGGTCCCTCCCACAAGTAGATAGGTCACTCCCGAAGTAGGCAGGTCCCCCGCAAAAGTAGATACGAGCCTCCCTAAAAGTAGGTTGGTCCTTCCAAACGGTAGGTAGGTCCCTCTCCAGTACATGGGACCCCCCCAACACACAGATAGACCCCTCCCAAAGGTAGTTAAATCCCCTCAAAGAGAAGAAGGGACCCCCCAATCAGTAGATTTGCAAATGTCAAGCAGGTCCCCCAAAAAAATCGTACCCTCACAATAAGTAGACAGGTCCCTCCCACAACTATATAGGTTCCGCCACATGTAGGTCGCCCCCCCTTCCCAAAAGCCGATAAGTCCCTCCCAGGTGTAGATAGGACCCTCCCAGCAAGTAGGTATGTCCCTCCCAAAAGTAGACCGGCCCCTCCCACAAATAGATAGGACCCTCCTAACAGTAGAAAGCCCCCCCCAAAGGTAAAATTGACCCACCCACAAGTATAGATGTCACCCCCGAGAAGTAGATCGGTATCGTCCAAACATAGATAGCCCCGTCCCAAAAGAAAAGAGCCCCGTCCCAAAGGTACATCGGATCATCTTAACAGGTATGTCCTTCACCCGAGTAGATAAGACCCTCCCACAGGTAGATAGGACTCTCCCAACAAATAGATAGGTCCATCCCAAAACTAGATAGGCCCCTCCCAAACCTAGGTAGGACCCTACTAACAAGCAGATAGGTCCCCTCCCAAAAGTAGACAGGTACCTCCCAAAGGTAGATAGGTCCCCGCCGAAAGTAAACAGGTCCGTCCCTCTCAAAAACTGATAGGACCCTCCCAGCAAGGATACAGGCCACTTCCAAAAAGTAGATAATTCCTTCCCCAAGGGAGGTAGGGCCCTGTCAAGAAGTAGATAGGTCCTCCCCAACAGTAGATAGGCCCGTCCCGGAAGTAAATAGGTTCATCCCAAACGTAGATGAGTCCCTCCCCAAACAAATAACAGGGTCCTCCCAAGGGTAGGTGTTCCTCCCAAAGGAAGTCGGGCCCTCCCAAAAATAGACGGGATACTCCGCCGGCGGCCCCCCTCGTCTGCCGGGCACCCCGCCCGGGGGGAGGGGCCCGGCGCGCGAGGCGTGCCGCGTTTTTTCTGTCGGCGGCGAGCGTCGGGCGATTGCAAGCATGGATCAGGTGGGCCCTCTCTCATCTCTCCTTCCTCCTCTTCTCCCCTCCCCCCTGACTGCTCCTAGTGGTTCTCGGGGGCGGACAGGCCTCCTCACACGTCGATGAAGGAATTGGCCGTTTTCGGTTCGCGAGAGGGCGTCGCGGCCGTCATTTCTGCGGGTCCAGGTCCGTCTGTTTCGGTCCCAGGCCGTTTTCACTAAGGTGAGGTCTACTAAAGGGAGGTTTGTCCACCGCCGAGGTTCTCCATCTGCACCATCCTCGCTCCTCTTCCCTGTCCTCTTCCTCCGGATTCTTGTGCTGCGCCTCCGCTTGCGCATCATCCTGATCATACTCCTCATCCTCCCTCGTCGTTTAATCAGGCGATCGCAAACATGGATCAAGGGGGCGTTGTTTAGCGACGGGTCACGTTTCCATGGGACATGGCGGATTTCCTCCACCAAGCGAGGCGGCACTGGCCGCATTTCGGGGAGGGCGCCTCCCCCAGATCCACGGATTTGGCGACCGCGCGCCAAATCCATGGATCGCTAATCCATGTTTGCCCGCCCCCGAGAGAAGGGCCTCTCAGAAGGCGGCGGGGCTCTTCCGTGACCATTTTGGCTCAAGATCTCAAGCCAAGGCTTGCCCACAGGCAGACGTCGTCTGATAAACTCCCCGGCTCTCAACATCACTGTTGCAGGCAGTCATGCAGCGCTTTTTGCAGGCCTTCTGCTCGCTCAATCTCGCCGTTATCGGCAGGGGGGCCCGGATGCAGCAGGCGATCCAAGGCAATCTGGAGTTCTCCCATGCGAGTGGGCCAGAGGTGCGCACGGGCCTCTTGCGGCTTGCTGCGCAGCCCCAGAAGTGCCTCAACGTCATCGCGGGATGGGCTGGCAACGGGAACGGCATCCAGCTCTGGGATTGCATCGAGGGCAGCCTGGACGAGATGTTCTCCTACACAGTGGGCGGCGTCGGCGAGATTCGCTGGGCCGCACACCCAGAGAAGTGCCTGAACGTGCAGAACGGTGCCGACCACTGGGGCACGCGGATCCAGATCTGGGACTGCATGGACGACCCTTCCTTCAAGTTCGAGGTCGCGCAGGCTGGTGCGGTGCTGCCGATCAAGTGGGCCGGCGGCAGCTGGGACAGCTGCCTGAATGTGAATTCCGAAGGCAAGCTTCAGCTCCACGGTTGCTGGGAGAACAACGCGTTTCTCCCACAAGGCGCCGACGTTCCGCCGGGCCCGCCGCCTGCGACGCCGCGGCCGACGTTCGAGCCGCCACAGCGTGGTGGGCTGGGGCAGCCCCTGCCTGCCCTTTCCCCTCACGGTGCTTCCATGGCCTTTGTGCACCTCTTTGAGTGGAAGTGGGACGACGTGGCCAAGGAGTGCGAGGACTTCTTGGGCCCCAAGGGCTTCACTGCGGTGCAGGTCTCGCCGCCGAACGAGCACATGAGTGGCGGCGAGTGGTGGACCAGGTACCAGCCTGTGAGCTACAAGCTCAGCAGCCGCTCTGGTGACGAGGCTGCTTTCACGTCGATGGTGCAGCGCTGCAAAGCAGTCGGGGTAGGCATTTATGCCGACGCAGTGATCAACCACATGGCTAGTGGCAGCGGCATTGGTTCGGCTGGTAGCCACTACGGTAACCGAGACTTCCCTGGTACGTACTCGCCCAGCGATTTCCACCATGATCACGGTAACGCGTACCGAAATTGCGGCGTTCATGATTACAACAACAAGCACGAAGTCCAGTACTGCGATTTGGTGGGGCTACCAGACTTGTGCACAAGTTGCTCGCATGTACAGGACCAAATAGCGAAGTACATCAACCACATGGCTGAACTTGGAGTGGCAGGTTTCCGGGTGGATGCGGCCAAGCATATTGATGCTGGAGAGCTCCGAGGCATCCTCAGCAAAGTGGACGACCGCCTCTATAGATTCCTGGAGGTCATAGGCCATGGCCATGAAGCCGTGACCCCTAACATGTACTACGACATGGGTGCTGTCACAGAGTTCAACTACGCGATCAAGGTGAGCGATATTTTTCGATCGCCTGGGAAGCTGCAATTCCTTGAAGGTTTTGGCGAGGCCTGGGGCTTAAATCCCACACATACCGCTGTGACCTTCATCGACAACCACGACACACAGCGCGGCCATGCTGGGGAGGCGGCTCTCACTCACAAGTCTGGCGGCGCTTACTTCTTGGCCACAATCTTCATGCTTGCGCACCCCTACGGCTACCCCAAGATCATGAGCTCTTACCACTTCGATAACACGGACTTTGGCCCCCCAGCCCAGCCAGTGCACGGCCAGGGCGAGCCCAATTGCGGGCATGGGAAGCCGTGGACCTGTGAGCACCGTTGGCCAGCATTCGCCAACATGGTTGCTTGGCGAAAGTCGGCTGGCCCAGACTGGGTATCGAGCTTCAGCAAGCACGGCGCCGACCGCATCTCGTTTTGCCGTGGCCCCGCTGCTTGCATCGCCATCAACCGCGAAGGCTCGCATTGGGATGTCACGCTCACCGTTTCGGTGCCGTCCGGCGAGTACTGCAACATCATCAAGTCGGACGGCTCTGATTGTGAGCGCGTGCACGTTCAGGACGGCACAGCCCGCGTGAGGGTGGATCCGATGTCCGCCGTAGCCTTCCACACTGGTGCGCGGTTATGATGACGAGGGTCCTGGTTTCTGAAGGCCCTATAGCGAGTACCGTTGAGCACGCCATCTGTCTTGACGGCTTTCCGGTGGAGCCGGCGCGCAGTTGTGGGTTCCAGTGGCTGCGACATGAGCAACTCTATGAAGCATACCAAAAAAAAAGGCGGCGGGGCTTCTCAGAAGCCCTCCGGCCTGCTCCGAGAAGCTGTTCTGTGCCCTCGGGGGAGGCTCAGACAACGTGACAGAAGATCGGGGGACGTCCGCGCCCTCTGCGAAGGCTGGATCCTTCCCACTTCCCCTCCAGGGCTTGCCACCGATTCTGGGCGGCTCGGGCGCGAGCTTTGACGGCCCCGTTCCCGTGGGGTGTCTGCCGCGGGACCTCGCGTCAGCCTGCAGACCGGGTCCCGCCTGCGGGCGGCCCCGCCTGGCCCGGGCGAGCTCGCGTCCTCCAGTCTCAAGCCTTACGTCTCCCGATCGTCGCGCGGCACCACGGCTCACGCGACGGAGCCACTGCGTAGTTTCGAAGACCGATTTCTGACCACCTCCACTTCTGGATCCTCGATTCTATGATAGGCCCTCGGGGGTGGAAGTGGGTAGTTTTTCCTTTCCCTGGGGCGGGGAAACTGCCCACCTCCACCTCTGGAAACCGCTTTTCGCAAGGCACCTCGGGAAGTGGGTGTGGTCAGAAATCGGTCTCCTATAGTTGCATTACCGGAGTGGTCCGGCTGCCCGAGGCAAGCATCGCCACCTGGCCAGCACAGCAGGACAGGTTTCCCTGACCCTCCCGAGCAGGCCGGGCAGGTTCTGTCTTGGATCTACCTGGGAGCCAACGCATAGATTTTGTGGTATGGCGCGGCCGACACATAGCACGGCTGTGGCGCACGATTTCAGCGCTGTCTTTTTAGGGCGGGTGCTTGAAGAGTTCTGGGAGGTGTATGTGGGGTTTCTTTGGGGCCTTTTCAGAGCCTCATTGGGTTCTGTGGAAGTGCCACGTGGGCGACGCAACAGAAAGGAGTGTCGTCTTCCCCGACATTGGCGCGGAAGTTGCCCGCGTAAGGTTCCGCGTAAGCGCCCTCGTCTCCAATGTAGCGTGCCGCGCTGGCGGCCCGCGCAAGTCACCGCGTAAGGTCGCTATGCCGTCTCTCGTGAGGTCTGTTTGGATAGTCGCTCACGTGTGGGTTTCCGAGGGCCCGTCTGGAGGTCTGGGGGCCATCTTGGGTCACGGCGTTCCGCCCAGATGTCCCGAAGAGGTTCAGTAGGACCATCTGGGAGACATAGCGACGAGGGCCCCCTGGCAGGCCCTCGTCACTACGGCGGATTCGCTTCGACATCCTGGCCAGAATGCACCCACGAGAGGTCCAGGGAGTAGCGCTATCGGTACTTATTGTTTTCTCCAGTATTGAGTCGCTTGGGGCTGGGTGTAATTTGGGTTATGTGTTGGTTTTCTAGGCCGTCTTGGGGTTATCAGAGCGCGACGCACGCCCGCGCATTGCAAGCGCAGCGGATGATAGTATGATATGGTGTACCACGGTTTCTTCAGCCTGATCAGCACAGGGGGTGTTGGGGCATGAGAAGGAGGAGGAGGAGCAGGAGCAGGAGCAGGAGCAGGAGCATGAGCAGGATGATGGCAAAAGTGAGGAGGACGGTGGGGAGAGGAGGATGAGGAGGAGCATGGAGGGGGGATGAAAACCCGCGGCACGAGGAGGCTTCACATGAAAAGACGATCCAGGAGGAGGAGTTTGAGGGACGAGCGGCAGGGCGGATGAAGCGCATGTGGAGGGCAGTGGGCGGAGGCGGAGGGGCCGAGGCCAGACGGGGCCCGACAGCACGCCGAACATACGACGGCATCGCGGGCGGAGAAGGGTCCGGCACGAGCCACCCGCGTGGCCGTGCCTCGAAGAAGAAAAATCGCCATGGACATGAACTCGGGGCGCTCCGTGCGGACTTTTTGGCTCCGCGCCTGGGGTCCCCTGGCGGTGCCTCCGGCGCCGCCCCTGGTGCGCCAGGGAGGGGGGGTCTGGCGCGGATCCAAGAAGGCCGCGCGGAGCGCCAGAAAGTTTGTGTTTATGGCGTTCTTCTTCTTCTTCTTCTTCTTCTAGAACATACGACGGGGTGGCGGGCGGAGAGGGGCCCGGCACGGGCCGCCCGCGCGGCCGTGCCAGGAGAACTCCATGGGCCTCGCCCCGAACAACTCGCTCGTGACCCAGGTCGCCCAGCAGGGCATGGAGGCCGCTGCGGGCCCCCGCGGCCCGCGTCGTGCTCGCCCGCGCGGGCCCCGTCGCCCCCCCGCTCGCGTACCCCTTGTCTTAATTGGTGGTCTCCAAACCAGGTGGTGAGACACCCCGTGGTGACCCCGATTCCCCCCCCTAAAAAAATTTGGGTCACCACCGGGTTTGGGGACACGCGGTCGCCACGAGGTTTTGCGCTTCCTGGGCCAGCCAGCGCTCGAAAACCATTACCCAGATCGCCCAAAACTCACCACCGGGTGTTCTCACCACCACGTTTGGGGACCACCAACTTAAGTTGGGCCTGTCCCTGTACAGGAGGAATATTCAGACAAAGGCAAAACATGCTCTGGGGACGATTCTTCGATTTCTTTTGATCACTTTTGGGGTATATTTTAGTTTTGAAGTTTTTCCGCCCAGAATCTTCTGCGGGCGGACAGGCCCGACTTAACCCTTGTCCTCCTCCTCCGCCCCCTCTTGAAGAACAGATGGCATAAGCATGCACTTTCGGAGGTCCTCGCGCATGAATTCGATCGGCCCCGGGGCTCCCCCTGGCTGCGCCTCCGGCACTGCCCCCGGCGCGCTCGGCGTGCCAGGGAGAGGGGTCCAGCTGATCCCCGGGCGCGCTCGGCTCCAGCTGATCCCAGAGCTCGGCTCGGAACTCTGGAAGTGCATGCTTATCCAGTTTTGTCTTATGCTATGTTCGCCAGCGTTGATCCCATATTGTGTGTTCTGACATTATATGTGGTGCAGTGTATGTGGGGCAGTATGCGTGGTGCTTCGCATGCGAGACATCGATATCAAGGAACCGATTGATCCGAGAAAGCAGGGAAGAACGAGGAACCTGCAGAAGGCAGGAACAAACATATCCAAGCAACGCAACGTAACGAACTGACGTAACGAACTGCAGCGCAAAACCATGCTGAGAAATTCAACGCAAAGCAGTGCAATGTAAACCAGTGCAGAGCAAAGCAATGCAAAACAATGCAACCCGACGCAATGCAAAGCGATGCCAGACAATATCAGGCAGAGTTTTGCAACGTTAAGCAACGCAAAGCATCAGGAACACAATGCAATGCCATGTGGAGCAATGATCAGCAATGCAACGCATTGCAAAGTAATGCACATCAATACCACCAGCGCTACGCGACGCGATGCAAGGCAACGCACAGCATGGCCAGCGCTGATCCAAGAACTCGTCGCAGAACTCCGGAAGTGTATGTTGATACAGTTGTTATCGTTCTGCGCTGTTCCGCTTCTTCCACTTGCTCCCTGCTCCGCCTCCGCCTTGCGCCGTCCTCCCGGGTCCCCGTCTGCAGGGGCGAGAAGGATGGACGAGCGGGAGGAAAAGGGGAGAGGTGGGGCGGACGAGCACGGGTCGAGGAGAGGTGGATGCTTGGAACAAGGAGGATGAGAGTCGAGATTGATGACCAGATCAAATCCGTAGGGTTCATTGGCCCAGAATTCCCCCCCCGCGACGGAGTCATGCGAACTGTTGCTCAATGCCATCCAAAGCAGCTCTGCTTTCCGGCTGCGTGGTGGAGCAGAGGGAGGTCGAGGAGGAGGAGGAGCGGGAGGTCGTGGAAGGAGGAGGGGGGAGCAGCGAGACAGCATCCCCACCCAGCGGGCTCGGGGGCTCTGGCAGGCGGTCAGGATGAAGCTGGCCGAGGTCACCTCGGCGAGCGCGAAGAAGGCCCCTCCCTCCCTCCCCCGCATCGCCACGCACGCATGCGCAGACCGACAGACAGGCTGGCAGACACACGCACACACAGACACAGACAGACAGAAAAAGGCAGAGACAGCCAGAATGAGAGAGAGAGAGAGAGAGACAGAGACAGAGAGAGGGATACACATACACACCCAGGGACAGAGGACGGGCGGGCAGGCAGGGACGGAACGTCCAGGTGACTGACAATAAGGGACACACATGCAGTTCAAGGGATGAATGTGCATCCGTGCATACACGCACGGCTGCACACAGACGTCTACATTTACACCGCCGCCGAGGTTCTCCATCTGCACCGCCGAGGTTCTCCATCTGCACCATGCGAGTGGGCCAGAGGTGCGCACGGGCCTCTTGCGGCTTGCTGCGCAGCCCCAGAAGTGCCTCAACGTCATCGCGGGATGGGCTGGCAACGGGAACGGCATCCAGCTCTGGGATTGCATCGAGGGCAGCCTGGACGAGATGTTCTCCTACACAGTGGGCGGCGTCGGCGAGATTCGCTGGGCCGCACACCCAGAGAAGTGCCTGAACGTGCAGAACGGTGCCGACCACTGGGGCACGCGGATCCAGATCTGGGACTGCATGGACGACCCTTCCTTGAAATTGATTGGTGCCCTCCCCACATGTAGAGAGGTCCCTTTCCGAACGTAGGTAGGTCCCTCCCAAAAGTAGATAGGACCTCCCCAGCACGTAGATGGCCCCGCCTAAACGTAGATATGTCAAAAAAGACTAGACACTCCCAACACGCCAAGAGGGCCCTCCTAAAAGTATATAGGACCTTCTCCTCAAGCGTACAGGACTTTTTCAAAAGTAGATATGTCATTCCCAACAAGTAGACAGGACCAGACAGGACCATCCTCAAAGCGTAGATAGGCCCGCCCAAAAGAAAAAACAAGTCCATAGCCTACAGGACCATCCCATAATTAGGTAGGACCCTTCGAACAAGTAGACAGGATCCGCCCAACAAGTCGGTGGAACCTTTCAAACGTAGACAGAGAGTTGGAGGTGACGGCGGGGACGTGCGCAATCCGACGCAGCGCTAAGGGTCGGACAGGGCGGCGGCGACGACACTTGCGATTACGTTGGGGGGTGGGACGCATGCGTGACCTGGGAGGGCTGGAACGGTGAGAACCACATACGCCTGCCTAGGAATGAGGGGTGGCGGCGGCGGTGGTGGGGGGGGGAGGGTTGACGAGGCCTCAACAGCTCCACGCTGCATACCCCCCTCCGTAGCCTTGGTTTTCCCGGGCGCTCTTCCCGACCGCTGAACGCTTTAAAGTGATGTCGGGCCGCAGCGCGGTTCGCTCGCTGGCGCGCGCGGGCGCGGGCTCTCGCGCGCACGCGGACGACCAGTGGGTCGACGGCGTCGACCTTGAGAGCGGTTGGGTCGACGAGTCGTTGCTGGGAAAGCTCAGCCCCGAGGACAAACGTCGGTACTACGAGATCGCGCAGTTCACGTTGGCCGAGAAGGCGCGCGGTTCTTGGCAGCCAAACGGCGACCAGCGCGACGCGCAGCAGCACGACGGCGACCAGCGCGACGACGGCGACCAGCA